CCAAGTTAAAGTAGATGTTTTTCTTGGTACCCATGAAGTGAAAGTTAGACTCTATAGGAATGATGGTGTATTTCACTTTATAAAATTGTTTGTGACTTAATACTATGCAAATTGAACCTTATTTGAATTACTCTTAAGAAATTTGCAATAGAGAACTATGGTTCTGTGAATTGACTGTAAAGCAAGGAACCATTTCCAATCAGAATGACTTCTTAATACTTTTTAGTAAACGTGAAAGTCATGTGGGAGTCTTTTGCTGATGATTTAGTAAGCTTTTTTGTTTTATAAAGTACAATGTTAAACCCTGTATGGGAATCTATGACTCTAAGATGTACTCTGAAATTTCTTGTCAAGATGGTTTTTTAGGTTTAGGTTTTAAGGAGCCCCACCTTTGCTTCATATACATAGCAGTGACAGATAAAATACAAAATAAATAAGCCAAACATATTATAATAAGACTAAAAAGAAAGATTTCCATAAATAAACACAAAACCATCATATCAGCTTGTGAGTTTACTAAACATTAGTTAGAAGCAAGTAGAGATGACTGGAAAGTCTATTCTCCCTATAACAGAAAGCAAAAATACTCCATAGGCAACAGAAGAAATTAACCAGACTCAATGCCTAAGAGCAGGATCTAGGCCAGAGGACCTTTCCACTCATTCTCCTGAATAAAAGGCAAAAGATATTGCTATTATATTACCTAGAATTCTGGTTTATATAAAGCTATATACCTAAGAAAGAAAAAAATATGTAAACTTTCTCGACCAGCAACTGAGCCAATCTACCCAGTGGTTCAGTATCTGGATGTCATTTCAGGAGAGAGTTCTGCTGTCAGTGTAGGTATGTAAGCCCCTGCAGAGCAACCCTACAGCTGATATATTGAACAAAGTACAAAAACAATTGCCAGAGGATACTAAGTTGTAAATAAAATCAGGCAGAGCGTAGAGGAGTCAAAACTTTGAGAGGCAATCAAAACGGTGTTCATTTTGTTTTGATCTTTCCTGCTGAGAGGAACTTTAAGAAATGCTTCTTGGGAAGCAGCATGACTTACTTGCTTTGGGACAAGCAACCTAGTACCAGACAGGGTAGGAGAAAAAGTGATCTAGATAGGTTGATATGGAGAAAATAACAGATCTGGGAAGCTGAGGTTGGACGCCTGTGTTTCAATGACAAAGTATAAACTATCCTGGTCAGGCATGGTGGCTCACATCTGTAATCCCAGCACTTTGGGAAGCCAAGACAGGTGAATCACTTGAGGTCAGGGGTTCAAGTCTGGTCAACATGTGAGACCCTATCTCTACTAAAATACAAAAATTAGCTGAGCGTGGTGGCACACGCCTGTGGTCTCAGCTACTCAAGAGGCTGAGGCATGAGAATCTCTTGAGCCTGGGAGGCAGAGGTTACGATAAGCCAAGATCATGTCACTGCCTGGGACACAATTTTAAAAAAATTATAAATCATTCTAAGTTTGAGTCTAGCCAATTTTAAAACAATAATCAAAAAGTAAGATCTGTGGGTCTGTGCTGCAATTATAAAAGGTGTGTTGAAAACATGACAATATAGAGAAAAGACTGTAAGATAAGAAAAATTCAAGATAAGACAAAACCAATATTACATGCAAAATATATGATCAGAAAGCTTAAAAAGAAAAACAAAATACAACATATTGGAAATACATTGTTGAAAGATGCATCAACTGAAATAAAATCCAAATGAAAGACAATTGAGTTGCAGGAGTAAGACAATAGTAAAGAAATATTCTGAAATAAGATAAAGAAATATCTAAACAAAACCAAAAAATTAATAGATATAATATATGGAATCTAGAAACCAGGATCCAGCCCATGAAAACTAGCTATTCCCAAAGTCAGGTCGGAATATTTCACAATTGTTGTCTAAAGTCCCACTCAGTTCAAGTATGAGAGTATAAACTTCCTGCAAAAAATCTGAAGTATCCATCTCAGATCAAGGAATCTTGTTCTTACTCTTATATACCACACCAGCCTATGACACTGTCCTGTTGAAAGAGCAGAGCAAATGCAAACCACAATATTGAGCCACATCACTTTTGTATCATTCCCTGGATTTTGGTTCAATTTATTGTGAATAATCTCTTAAATCCTGTAAAATGATAATTTCCTTTTTAGGATCTGCCTAGTTTTGTTTGTTTGAGTTAAATTCTCCTAAAATGTTGGCTTGTGCATTGTATGCTGCACAGTCTTTGGATCCTAGACACTGCACTCTAGCTTTGGCCCTGTGCCGCCTTCTCATTCTCTGGGGGCAGGAGACCCCTACAGTCTGCAGATGGTTTTATTTGTGCCAGGCCTGAAGCAGTATTTGAAAACAGCAATTCCCAATCCCCACCATAGCTTTCCACAGCGCACTTCTCCCCAAGAGTTGTATGCCCAACTGCCCCACATATTGCATCCCCCTGACAGAGATGTTTTGGGACATGCATGGGATGTCTGGGATGTCTTTGAACACAAAAGTTGCCTCATCTGCCCTGTGGCTACTACTCTCCCCACCTGCTAGGGAAACTGTTCTTCAACTCTCATGACTAGGTCTACAGCAGCTAAAAACAAGGAAAGAGCCCCTACCTCTGTGTATCCTCCACTGAGAACCTAGTGGCTTTGTTGCATGCTCTGCCTAGAAGTTCTACATTCAAAGGCACAACATAAAATAAATACATAAGGTCATGAATGGTTATGACCTAAAACAGTGCCGAGGAGCTGCAGTCCCTTCTGCACACCAAAATAACAGAAACAAGAGAGGCACAAAAAATGATAGAAAAATTAAAGGCACAATGTTTAATCTATGGTAAACTGGATAAATTTTTTTAAATGAATTACTTTTCAACAGACTTATCCAATGTGTGTATGTTTATGTGTATATATACACACATGTATACACTTATCCAATGTGTATGTGTATATATACACACATATATACACTTATCCTATGTGTGTGTGTATATATGTGTATACACACACACGTGTGTGTGTGCGCGTGTGTGTGTATACACACAGTTGCACAGTGGCTCATGCCTGTAATCCCAGCACTTTGGGAGGCTGAAGTGGGCGGACCACCTGAGATCAAGAGTTTGAGACCAGCATGGTCAACATGATGAAACCTCGTATCTTCTAAAAACACCAACAAAATTAGCTGGGCATGGTGGCATGCACCTGAATTCCAGCTACTTGGGAGGCTGAGGCAGAAGAACCCAGAAACCGCAGGTTACAGTGAGCTGAGATTGTGCCACTGCACTCCAGCCTGGGCAACAGAGCAACTGAGTAATACTCCATCTTGAAACAAATAAATAAATAATAAAAAGCATGAAAAAAACTAAAAAGCACTCTCAAGTGTACAGATAAATATTTCAAAGCTTCATTATATTATAACCTGCACACATACATGCATCCAAGCAAGCAACTAAATCTAAATAGAGAACATAATTGAGTTCATATTTTCTACCCATAGTTAAATAAATAGTTAATAACAAAAGGTATTTCAACCAACAACACTGTTTTAAAAACACTGTCAAAATATCCATGTTATCAAAAAGAAAATTTAGAAAAATAATAAATGGCGTGGAGAGTAGCCAAAAATATACTCAGAGAGAAAAAGCAATCATTAGTTTTTAAGTATTAAGAAATCTATAATGCCAATTAAATTAATTAAAAATAAAATTGTCAAGAAAATTTTGGAAAGGTGAGAAGGCCAAAACAATAGCAATGTAAATAGAATTAAATAAAATTAAAAGTGCCAGCTAAGTAAAGTTTGTAAAAAGAAATCTGAGGACTAGTATTTTGACCACAAAGTAATATTGACTAAATTAACAAAAAGTCAATCATAGCAATAAGGCAGAAAATATGGAGACACGGAAATACTTATAGCTTTATCCAGGTAACAGATAATTTTTGGATACATTTTACCTAGGAACATTTATGAAGTACAAGTCTTAAAAGATTACAGAAAGCCATATAAAATAATGAATGCTACATAAAACCAGTGCTTCTTAAATATTTTATCAGTACAGTGAAGCTTATGCCTAAGTTCTTTCAAAAATTTAAGGAGCTGATTATTTTATAGAATTTGTTTCAAAATATCCATATATAGTAAAATGTCAATTTTTTTTTTTAATTAAACAAACATTTGCTGCCTGTGAGTCAGATCATTTTAGGCCTGTATATACATCTGTGAATAAAATTGACAAAATGTCTGTTACCAGGATCGCCTCTCATACATACAAATTCTCCCTTTCTATGGTCCTCAGTTAGAAGGAGGGATTCCATCCTCTGAACTGACTCATGCCCACTCCAGGGCACTTGTGTTGCCATCAGACAATGGGCTGCATTCAAGTCCCCATTTACTCAGAGAGGGGCACACTGGCACAACCTCAGCTTCCCTTCTGTGGAGGAGGATGATGACAAATGCATACATCAACAAAATAGTTTCTGACTGAGACCCTTGACGGAAAAGTTTATTTTACTAAGAACAAAATTTTAACTGGTATACAGACAAGGTATTTTAAGGAATCTAAAATAAAACAGGATACATCAATTATAAAACTATTACCATAAATAAGGCTGTCATAAACTTGGAAGTAACAGTAAAGATAAAAGGATATGAGAGAGGCCAGGTGCGGTGGCTCCCGCCTGTAAACTCAGCCCGCTAAGGCGGGCGATCGTGACGTCAGGAGTTTGAGAACAGCCTGGCCAACATAGTGAAACCCCGTCTCTTACTAAAAATACAAAAATTAGCCCAGTGTGGTGACGGGTACCTGTGGTCCCAGCTACTCAGGAGGCTGAGGCGGGTAAACCGTTTGAACCCGGGAGGCAGAGGTTGCAGTGAGCCAAGAGCGCGCCACTGCACTGGAGCCTGGGTAACAGAGTGAGACTCCGCTCAAAAAAAAAAAACAAACACCCCACCTGTGCTCTCAAAACAGAACAGTGGATAAGAAATCCCCGCACTCTTTTATGTTCCAGTAAATGACTTACCGCAAAGAAACATTACTCCTTATATACTTCAGAAAAAGACTCTCTAACCCGGCGCGGTGGCTTACGGCTGTAAACCCAGCACTTCAGAAGGCCGAGGCGGGCGGAGAACAGCCGGACCAAGATGGCGAAACGCGTCTCTACTAAAAATACAAAAAAGTACCCGGATGTGGCGGGGCCGCCTGTAATACCAGCTACTCCAGCTACTCAGGCGGCTGAGGCGAGAGAATTGCTTCAACCTGTGCGGCGGAGGTTGGCAGTAAGCCAAGACCGTGCCACTGCACTCCAGCCTGGGCGATAAAGAGAGGCTCTCTTAAAAAAAAGAAAGTCTCTCTTTTTTCAGTCTCTCTCTCTCTTAAAAAAAAAATAAAAGTCAAAAGAAAAAGACTCCCTTTCCTCTCATTCTCATGACTTCCCAAAGATGCACAAACGACTCCCTTGCGACAAGGCTAAGCACATATCTTCCCTCTTCTGCCTGAACCTGCTGAAAAGGCCAAACACAGATCCTGTTTCACCTCCAGCCATCTCTCTGTTCCTTATCTTCCCAGTGATTAGCTAAGATTAGAATTTAACTGTCTAGACACAGAGATAAACCTGTCCTATTCAGCTGACTGAGACTTTCCCTGATTGCAAACCAATCTCAACTGAAACTTGTCTGCTCCTTCCAATGAAAGTCTAAGGCAAAACTACCCAACTGAGACAGTTTGGATCTTTGCATCTGTTGCAATAGCCTAAATAAAATCAGACTCCTTATCTATGCAGTTTTTGTCTTTGACACAGCAAACAGGTAAAATATTAGGCCATGGGCCTGAATATGGCCAACTAAAGACAGACTTAAGAAGAAAAAGGTATCCAAGATGAGCTCGCAGAATGTGAATAATTAGACATCAAGCGCGCGCGCACACACACACACACACACACACACACACACACAAAGATTGAGAAGGAATGACTAGAAAAATATACAGAAAACCCGGGAATGTACAAAAGTAAAAGAGAAGGAAGATGTAAGAAACCAGGAGTTGTTAACTGTACTGAATCCTTTGGAACTATCAAGTGAAATGAGGATTAAGGTGGCCATTGGATTTGGATTGATGGAGATACTTAGTAATACAGTAGTCCTCTCTTATCTGCAGTTTCACTTTCCATGGTTGCAGTTACCCAAGGTCAACACAGTCCAGAAATATTAAATGGAAAATTCCAAATATAAACAATTTATAAGTTTTAAATTGCATGGAGGCGTTTTGAGTAGCATGATAAAATCCCTTGCTGTACCACTCTCTCATGCCCGGAACATGAATCATTCCTTTGTCCATGGTATTCACCTTGCACACACTATTGGACCATTAGTCTTTTAGTCTATCTTAGTCATAGGTTGATTATTGTAGTATCACAGTGCTATGGTCGGGTAACGCTTATCTTCCTTAATAATGGCCCTAAAGCACAAGAGTAGTGATATTGGCATATGGTTTTAATTGTTCCATTTTATTTATTGTTGTTAATCTCTTATTGTGACTTATTTATAAATTTAACTTCATCATAGGTATGTACAGGAAAAAACAGCATTGTATACAGAGGGTTTGGTACTATGTATAGTTTTCAGGCATCCGTTGGGGACACTGGAGCATATTCTCTACAGGAGAGACATTTTTATTCACAAGATCAGCTGCTTTTAAACAGTGGTGACAGCAGAAAGTTGAAGAGTAAAAGGAAAGAGACAAGAATTGCAGATAATCATCTTAGAAAGATTGGATAACATTGATACGGGACAGTATTTAGAGGAGAATCTGAGGTGAAAAATATGTTTTGTTTTGTTTTGTTTTCCTGAGATAGGAGATACTAGAAAAGACGTGATACAAGAGAAAGGGGTGACTACAAAAACAAAGACTTTGGGAAAATATTATAATAAAAATAGTAAATTTATATTGTGTTCTTAATATGACCCAGGAACTATACTTTGTCCTTTTCATCTGTTATTCTTAGTTTTTCTCATTTATCAACATTTCTCTATTAGAGAAAAATAGGACAGAGAGTTTAAGTAAGTTGATCATGATTTAAATTTCAGCACACTGCCTCCAGAGTCCGTAAGTATAATCATTATGCTAAAAATGCCTCTCTGTATACCTTAAAGCTACAGAGAATGCATCAATTAAGATATACGTATTTAATACATTTCTAAGAAAATTAAAACGTAAGCAACTTTGATTTATGTCAACAATTTATTTAACGTCTTCTAAAAGTTTAAGCCATTGCAGTAACATTTGAGCCAGAAATAATAGAAATGAATATCAGAAAGCATCAAAATTTTATTTTCACAGACAAAATTATTATATTGCTAGAGAATTCAAAATAACTTGAAAATCAGAAATTAACTGAGTAGTTTATAAATTGTGGATACAAAAATGAATAATAATAATCTTCCAATAATTAATATTGGTAAAGAATCTGTTGGAAAACATAATCTACTGTTCATAATGACAAACAAAACAAAAAATCACTGGAAGATGTTAATGAAGAATATATTGCACTATAAAAACACCTACAAAAAATTCTATTTTGAAACTGGACGATCTACGTTAAGTACTGACATACAATGACAATATTATTGAAATAGCTTTGCTTTTCAAGTAAAAGTGCAATTTCAGCATAATTTTTTATTTTTAATTTAAAAACATACTCTTGTCAATATAACTTAAAGCAAAATTATGCATTTAAGTTTGGAAAGTTTTAAAATAATATTAACATACAATGAAAAAATAAACGTGGAAGACAGGCTTAGAAAATTTTGAAAAGGAAAAAGTGAGATTAATGGGGGACTATATCTCTTAGATAGAAAATAAGTCATGGAATTACAGTAAATAAAATATAGGCAGATTAATAAAGTATATTTCAGTTGGCAGGACATATGGCCATCTATAACTTCAGGAGGGTAAGAAACTATAACTTTTGTATGTCTAGAAGTAGAGGGCAAATGAATTTTGGTGAAAATAGTAATGTCAGCTGCACATATATATATTTTCGATTCTGTCATATCAGTAAACAACTAAATACACATCAGAACAATGAGATGTCTATGTTTATATTTCAAGTGTTAAACAGTAAAAATAAATTAACCAGTGTTGTCGAGAAATAAGTAAAATGAACTTTGACAAACACTGTTAATGTGGGTAAACATTGACAAAAACATTTTAGGAAATTTAGAAAACCTTTAAAGAAGTCTTAAAAGTCCAGTAATTTTCAATATATTCTACTTCTGGGAATTTATTCTACAAACATTAACAGAAAAAATAATCAGAACACTATTTTTTAAAAGTGTACTCTGGGAACAACCTAAATATTCCAAATCAAGGAAATGGTTAAACACATTAATGTATAACCACAGTGTAGACTGTTATGCCTGAAAGTGGAAACAAAAATAATTTTTATTGTGGGGAAATAGGTGGGCCGTAACTTTTAAGTGAAAAGTAAGACATCAAATATTATATATAATATTTAATCTACCTTAAGATATGTTTTCTTAGGGAAAACAAATGGAAGGTAATATTTATGAATATTAATGATGTTTCTCTCAAGTAATGAAACTATAATTTATATTCTCATACATGTCAGTATTAATTTTTCTTATAATTTATATGGTACATGGACTGCATTTATAATTATAATAAAACTAGTTTTAGAAAACAACTTATACAAGTTAAAGTTAAATCAAAGCTATCATATTTCATTCAAGCCAATATCATCCATTAATCCACGATAATATGGAAGTTCTCTATTTCTTGGACATCAGAATACTACATTGTAATTCTAAAATATTCCAGTTATGAAATATAAACTATGTCTTTACTATATTTTCAGATTTGAAAATGTCATTGTTGCTACAAATTGTAAATTAAATGATGAATAAATAAATATTAATGTGATGATATGAACATGTGTTAGACTGGACCTAGCCAGGTCAAATACATATGAAAATTAAATGTGTATTTTAAATTAAAATTGTGGTGCTCAATTTCCAAAAGGATTTAATTTTAAATGTAACTATACATCCACTTAAAATCTTAGAATGGCAGTTCGTGTGGTATATCTTCACATAAAAGATAAAACCAAATTTAAAAACAATATAAGTATATAAGATAAAAATATTTTTGAATGGAATTTTAATATAATTGATTACTAACGGATTACATTTTTAATTTTTAACTTTTATTACATTTATTTGAATTGGAAAAGGAAGGTATCACTACCACTTTACAATGTTAAGAATATTAAAATAACAGATTAGCATGCATAAATATTAGGTTACTAATGCATTTATATGTTTTATGTATAGCTTATAAAATATTACAAGTATAAATTATATACATTTGTTTTAAAAAGAAATTAGTGAATAATGGTTACATAAATTTTAATAGTCAAACTTTTAAATCTTAATTTGTATATAAAAAGAATATTAAATAATACATCTGAGATAATTTGTACTTTGTTATTTTTAAATAGCAGAAAGTGATGAGAATTATGGAGGAAACTAAAAGTTATGAAAATCAAACACATGTCATTATTTGGACTAGTTACTTAACTTTTTCTAATTGCAAAGAAAATTTTCCACTGATGGAGTATTTCCCAAATGCCAGGTACTATTCTAAAGCCTTTTGTATGCTTTGTCCCATAGATTGCCCAGAGTGAATATTTCCAACTCAGGAGCATGAAAATTTATAAGGGGAACATTATGAACATTGACCACAATACAGTAAAAGTATAGCCGATCAAAATAGAAGGTGAGACACTGGGATACTAGAGATGCTCATTAGCAAGTGTTAATATTTCCATTTTATAAATGAGGAGTCCAAAGATAACGGCTATGGTTAATGGAATAAAAAGTAGAGGTTTTTTTTTGTTTGTTTTTTTGAGATGGAGTTTCGCTCTTGTTACCCAGGCTGGAGTGCAATGGCGCGATCTCGGCTCACCGCAACCTCCGCCTCCTGGGTTCAGGCAATTCTCCTGCCTCTGCCTCCCCAGTAGCTGGGATTACAGGCACGCGCCACCATGCCCAGCTAATTTTTTGTATTTTTAGTAGAGACAGGGTTTCACCATTTTGACCAGGATGGTCTCGATCTCTTGACCTCGTGATCCACCCGCCACGGCCTCCCAAAGTGCTGAGACTACAGGCTTGAGCCACTAAGCCCGGCCAAAAAGTAGAGTTTTAAGTATTCCATTTCCAATAATTAGGGGAGAATTATATTTCAGTAAGAATAGTTGCTGAGAAAAGAAGGGAAAAAAGGTGATAAATAATCTAAAT